TCCCAGGTTCAATTCCGGGGCATGTACGTTGGTTGCAAGCACATCCCCGGTAGGGGTTGTGCAAGAGGCAGCTGGTTGATGTTTCTCTCTCATTGACATTTCTAGCTCTCTATCTCTCTCCCTTCCTCTCTATAAAAAATCAATAAAATATATATTTTTAAAAAATGAATAAATACCCAGAAGTGGAATAGCTGCATTATAGAGTAGTTCAAGCTAAAGACTTGTGGTGGTGGTTTGGCTCAATGGATAGAGCATCGGCTTGGGGACTGAAAGGTCCCAGGTTCGATTCAGGTCAAGGGCATGTACCTTGGTTGCGGGCATATCCCCAGTGGGGGGTGTGCAAGAGGTGGCTGATCGATGACTCTCTCTCATCGGTATTTCTAACTCTCTATCTTTCTTCCTTCCTCTCTGTACAAAATCAATAAAATATATTTAAAAATAAATAAATACCAAATACTTAAATAAAATTCCTTATCAGTATGGAGAAAATGGCCTTTAGCCTAAAGGCTGCAACCAATCACAAAAATGCTGTCCAGGCTGGATTTCAAACGCTGTATAACCCAAGCTCTAGCTGATTTTTGGCCTTCATGTTGCCATAGTGGCAGCCTTTTTACATGTGATGATGATGGTCTCTTGGTTCTCCCCACCCCTAATGGCTGTTGAACCATAGCCCCAGTGGCTGAGAATGGCCAGGGCTGTAGGCCAGGCTTTGTCCACATTCTCTGGTAGATCCTCCCCTGGAGACAAGGAGGTTGAAGCCAGTTGCTCATAGTGGTCGCTTCTCTAACTTTGAGTGATTGTACCCCCAACTCATTTTATTTTTTATTTTTTGGTTAGGAGAGGCATCTCCCTGGCATCCGTGCTCCATAGAAGCTCTGCTCTTCAGACATCCTGCAATGAAAGGATTTGGTTTCTGCTATTTTTATTAGATGGTTGCCTCTCCTCTCTTTCTCCCTACAGATACTTACTGCTTTTAGCCCTCCAAGATTCCTTTGTAAGAGCGGAGAGCGAAGGGATGATGTCAGATCACTTGATGCACGAGAACTGAGCTCTTTGAGGGTCTACTTTACACTGCTGATCTGACTCGCATGGGACGGCACTGTTCCTTTTTTGTGGTGGTGGTGGTGGGGGGGAGTCGTCCTTGTAAATCCTCAAAGGAAGAAATATTCACCTACATAAATGTTAAAAGTTCATATCTTATGTACTAGATGTAATTAAGACCATGGGGAGTTACTGGACTAAAAGAATTGTTTACTTTTTACTCAAGATTAAAAAAAAAAAAAAGTATTTTGAAAATGCTGCTAAAAAAAAAATGCTATCCAAACATCCAGAGGTGTGCATTCAAATGAATATATATATATATATATTGAGTGGCCAGATTATTATGATCTCTGAACACATAATAATCTGGCCACTTGGTATGTGTGTGTGTGTGTGTGTGTGTGTGTGTGTGTGTGTGTGTGTATGTGTGTGTATGTGTGTATATATATATATATATATATATATATGAGGCCTGGTGGGAGAGGGGACATGGGTGGTTGGTTGGCCTGCCTGCTGGTCAAACTCCTGGTCAAGGGGACAATTTGCATATTAGCCTTTTATTATATAGGATATACATTGAGTGGCCAGATTATTATGTATTCAGAGATCATTATTTATATATGTATATATGCGTATGTATATGCATATATATGTTTGTGTGTGCATATGTGTGTGTGTGTGTGTGTGTGTGTGTGTGTGTGTATATATTTTTTTTTTTCATTTCAGAGAGGAAGGGAGAGGGAGAGAGAGATAGAATCATCAATGATAAGAGAGAACCATTGATCAGCTGCCTCCTGCACACCCTACACTGGGGATCAAACCCACAACCCAGGCATGTGCCCTGACCAGGAATTGAGCCATGACCTCCTGGTTCATAGGTCAACACTCAATCACTGAACCATGCTGGCTGGGCCAAACAACTTTATTTTAAAACAGGAAAGGAAAAAAATAAATAGTTTCTGGACAAGAAAAAAAATTTTCTGGGTACAGTATGGGTAATTATGTTACACCAAATCAAAACAAAACACTTAAATAGTTGTTCTATGTAATTTTGTTCCTTTTTGTTTCAAGGTAATTTTATCAAAGAGCTTCAGAGTCTAATCTTTGAATGGCAATTTCTAAATGAAACGGTGGGCAAAGAGTCAGTGCTCTTCTCCAAGTCTTCACTATTATATATAAAAAATGTTAGGAGAAAAAAGTATTCAAAATCACAGTAGTATTTGTTCTTAAGTGTTTCAAACCAAAGAGTCTGGTAAACCTATGGACATGATTACCCTTGTTTTTCACTGCTGGCATTCCCCTACAGCACATGGAGCCAGAGGAAAGCCCAGGCTTACCGCAGACCCATTAAGAGGGTCAGCGGCAAAAGTAAATGGAAAAGAAAGCCATAGGAAGGGGGAAAACAAACTGTCCTAGCCATAGAGCTTCTCAAATATTTTATATCCAGTCAATCCATTTATAATAATGGCAAAAATGTTATTTTCCTACCATTTTGGTTGTTATTCCAACTGAACATCATTCTTCATTTCCCCTCAAATTTCTTAAATGCATTTTAGCACTCCAATATGCAAAAGTAGGTAATCTATTAAGTCTATTTTTCCCTAAAATTGTATGATATATCTTATGGCCAAATTAAGTTAACAGATATCACTCTCAGCTCATCAATTTATAGCCAAACAATTAATTTTTTTTCCTTTTGATTTGGAGTAAAATAGTATCAAGTTTAAGTAAAGAATGCATCTTCCTTTAAAAAGAAGAAGCCGGGACCGGTTTGGCTCAATGGATAGAGCGTCGGCTTGGGGACTGAAAGGTCCCGGGTTCGATTCCGGTCAAGGGCATGTACCTTGGTTGCGGACACATCCCCAGTGGGGGGTGTGCAAGAGGCAGCTGATTGATGACTCTCTCTCATCGATGTTTCTAGCTTTCTATCTCTCTCCCTTCCTCTCTGAATAAAATCAATAAAATATATTTTAAAAAAAATAAAAATAAAAAGAAGAAGAAGAAGAAGAAGAAGAAGAAGAAGAAGAAGAAGAACAGTTAAAAACAACAACCAAAACCAGAATGCATACGTGCAGAGGGGTTTGGGATGGCAATGGGGGGATGAGGACAATTATGTGATACCATAATCAATAAAGAAATTTAAAAAAAAAAAACAATGCATTTTCCTACCCAAGGAAGGAACTAATTTCCTTGGAAAGGACTCATACTTAGAAATTAATAAATAACAAGATAAAGAGATAATGAGATAAGGGGATAAACAAATAATTTAAATAAATAAATATAAAAAGCCACCCCATGGAGAGGTAGTTATATACACAAATTGCTGCCCACAACTGAGAAGACCCTTCTTTTCACCTGAGTTTTTTCTCAGTCTAGGAATGATGGAGTAGATTTCCCCTGGAATATTCTGACAAAAGAAAACTGGGTTTACTTGCAACTTCCCAGTACAGTGCTTGCCAAAGACCTGCCTGAATGGTCAGGATAAGCACGGTCAGGCCCATTCCAGGCAGTCTGTACTAAGAGAAGAAGGATTACATGGGTCCTGGCCCAGTAGCTCAGTTGGTTGGAGCATCGTCCTAGGCCAGAATTCATACAAGAATCAACCAATGAATGTATGAATAAATGGAACAACAAATGGATGTTTACCTCTCTCACTATCTCTCTCTCAAATCAATTTTTAAAAAATGATTGCATGATCTTTGGAGTTCCTCCAGCTCCCAGATTCTATAGACAATAAAGGGTGAGGGGCCCTAGCCGGTTTGGCTCAGTGGATAGAGTGTTGGCCCACGGACTGAAGGGTTCCTCGCTCAATTCAGGCCAATGGCAGGTACCTTGGTTGTAGGCTTGATCTCCAGTCTTGGTTGGGGCCTGGGTGGGAGGCAAACAATTGACGTGTCTCTCTCACATTGATGTTTCTCTCTGTGTGTCTCTCTCCTCCCTCCCACTCCTCTAAAAATCTATGGGAAAACATCCTTGGGTGAGGATTCCTAACAACAACTTGGACGAAAGGAGGAGAGGCTCCTTTGTTCTGAGGTCTGTCTATACCTCACTCTCCCACAGCCGTGGGGGCAGACGGCTCTTGCTGCTCTTGCTGTCTTGGGCTTTGCTGGGTGGAATCCTCTTACTGAGTCCATCTCAGTCCAGAGTCTCGTCCTAGCTGAAGACCTGCTTTAGGAGGAAAGGAGAATGTATACACTAACCACACCAAGACCAATTTATGAAGTGACAATGAGCAAGACATGGCAAGAGTACTAGCACTCTCACGCTGACCCTGACTTCCCACCCCGTTGGGCATCGCCGCGAAAAGCAGGTGGTTTGTAGAAGCTTGCGGACTGCTGAGGACCACACTCCTTCAGCGGCTCAGGGACACGCTCGCTGCATTCCCCTACAGGACAGAGGCGCACTGCCTCCAGGTGGGCGGACTGGCCCCTGGATCCAGAACTGCTCCTGGATTTAGGGGGCCAGACTCGCCTTCTCCGCAGAGACTCCCTCCCCATCCCGTCCTTCCCCGGCTGGCCAAGCCACTCCTCCTTTAGATGTGCTGATGCCTGTCATTCCCAAGAGATGGTCCAGTCCTGGGCGCTGAGCTGTGTGTGGACCCGCCTGGAGCTCAGAGGACCTGCGTGGACACAGGCTGGCACTGAAGAAAAGTCTTTCCTTTCTTTCCGGTTTGGGGTGGGGGTGGAGTGGGCAAGTGGGCACCCTCACTGCCCCCCCCGAACCCTCTCCTGGCCCCCCTCCCGGTCCTCCTGCCGGCTGGGCACGGGGCTAGGAGGGCTCGCCCAGAGGCCTGGGTCCCCGGCGGCGGGCGGGGAGGGTGCGCCCAGGTTTGGAGGAGGCCCTCCCCGGGCGCTGGGCCGGGGCCGGCAGGGGCGGGTCGGCACGCTCACCTGCCATTGGGCAGGTGGGGCCGGGCCGGGCTATAAACGCGGGCCGGCGGCGGCGCCCGGCGCAGCAGGATGGTGGACAGCGTGTACCGCACCCGCTCGCTGGGGGTGGCGGCCGAGGGGCTGCCGGACCAGTACGCGGACGGCGAGGCGGCGCGCGTATGGCAGCTCTACATCGGCGACACCCGCAGCCGCACGGCCGAGTACAAGGCCTGGCTGCTCGGGCTGCTGCGCCAGCACGGCTGCCAGCGGGTGCTCGACGTGGCCTGCGGCACCGGGTGAGCGCGGCGGGGCGCGGGCGGGGGCCGGGGGCCGGGGGCCGGGGCGCGCGCTGCGGACCTGGCCTGGCACCGGGGGGCAGCCTCCGCCCCGGGGCCGGGAGCCGGGAGCCGGTCTGTGTTTCCCGCCGGCCGGCAGGCAGGCCCGGCGCCCGGGCGAGGCGGGCGGGTGGGGGCGCCCAGAGCAGACGAGGGTGCGGGTGGTGGGCACAGCCGGTGGGGCAAGCGGCGCCCCGGCAGCCGCCAGGGCGGGGCTCGGGGCCAGGGCGATCGGGTCCTGCTCCCGCGTTATCCCTGGGGTGATGGCAATTGTTGACAAGTAACATTTGCTCAGCATTCGTCCGTGCCAAGAGCTGTGCCAGGAGCTTTTGAAACATGTTTTTTGGAAATCCTCACCAAACCCGGGAGGTCAGTGCGCGGTGGAATCCCATTTGCAGCGATGGAAACTCAGATCCCCCCTCTGGCGGAGAGGAGAACAGACCAGGGCGGCCGGAGTCTGCCAGGGCTCAGTCCACACCACCTGCGTGCAGGCTGTGCACGCGGTTTCTGGGTTCCCAGGAGCCTGTTTGCCCCGGCTCTCAGAGGGGCACCCCATTTTTTGTTTGTTTGTTTTTCAATCCTCCCCTGGAGGATGTATTGATTTTAGAGAGTAGAAGAGAGAGAGAGGGCAAGAGAGAGAGAAATATCAATGTGAGAGAAACACATGGATTGGTTGCCTCCTACACAGCTGGGGCTGGGGAGGAGCCTGCAATCCAGGTACATGCCCTTGACCAGATGCGAAGGCCAATGCTCTTCCCACTGAGCCAACCCAGCCGGGGTGGATTGCTGAGTTTTAATGCTCATTTGTAGAATATCTGACTCTGAATAGGTGCTAAAAACCAAAACACAATGCTGCTGCCTGGTGACAAGAAATAGATTTGCCAGGTCATTTGAGGTCAGCGGAGAGGAAGTGGAGGGATGGAGTGTGAGGGGCCTCCCGTCTTCCCAGCCCCCCTGATTGCCCGCTCTGCCTCTCATCCCCCGTCTACCCAGGGTGGACTCCATCATGCTGGTGGAAGAGGGCTTCAGCGTGACCAGCGTGGACGCCAGTGACAAGATGCTGAAATACGCGCTTAAAGAGCGCTGGAACCGGCGCCATGAGCCCGCCTTTGACAAGTGGGGTATGAGATGCGGTCCAGGCAGGCAGGCCCGCCCAGCCCAGCCACCAGGACTCTGCTCTCTCTGCCCCGGGCTCCTGGGGGGGGGGGGGGGTGTTTGTTTTCCTAAAGGACACAGCGAAAGGGCTCATTTCCCTTAAAAGGGAGGCGTAGGTGCCAGACTGAGATATCAGGTATGAGGAGCCAGTTATTTTATATATGAATTGATTTCAGAGAGGGAGAGGGAAAGATTGAAACATCAGTGATGAGAATTGATTGGCTACCTCCTGCATGCCCCCTACTGGGGATTGAGCCTGAAACCCAGGCCTGTGCCCTGACAGGGAATCGAACCGTGACATCCTGTTCACAGCCGGATACTCAATCACTGAGCCACGCCAGCCAGGCTTAATTTTATTTATAATGTCTTTCCCTCCCCCCAAAATAAAAGCCCATAAGCACAGAGTCCTCCTTTTGAACCATGGCTTCATTCTCTCTCAGCCCCTCTTCCCCTTCACCCTCCATGTCCATTATGATCCCCTCCCTCTAACGGGATGTGGAGTCCCTGTGTGTCTCTTGAGGGGAAACTGAGGCAGAGCTGCACTTGGTGGCAATGGGGACTGGTGGCACCAGGGTACCCGCCTGATCTCCCCTTCCCGGCCCCCAGTCATTGAGGAAGCCAACTGGATGACTCTGGACAAAGACGTGCCCCAGCCACCAGAGGGCGGCTTCGATGCTGTCATCTGCCTTGGGAACAGTTTTGCTCACTTGCCAGACTGCAAAGGTGAGAGGGTGTGGCCTTGGCACGGCCCTTGCTTTGAGCTGTAACGCCTTTCCACAGAGCCCTGGGCACCTGCTCTCCCGCGGAGCAGACTATGCTTTCTGTCCCTCTCTGCCTTGGCACTGGCACCCTGGGCAGTAGAAAGGTGGAGGGGAGACGGGTGCCGGGGGCCCTAAGTGGACACAGCCTCTCGCCCCTGCCGGGAGCTCAGGGGACCAGAGCGAGCACCGTCTGGCGCTGAAGAACATTGCGAACATGGTGCGGCCAGGAGGCCTGCTGGTCATCGATCATCGGAACTACGACCACATCCTCAGCACGGGCTGTGCACCCCCAGGAAAGAACATCTACTATAAGGTGGGCCCCCGAGGGAGGGCCCCGAGTGGGAAGGGTGACCCTGGGGTCCAGGCCCCACGGCGGCTGCAGACTAACGCAGCCACCACTTACAGAGCGACCTGACCAAGGACATCACGACCTCAGTGCTGACCGTGAACAACAAGGCACACATGGTGACCCTGGACTACACCGTGCAGGTGCCGGGGGCCGGCCAGGATGGTTCTCTCGGCTTGAGGTACCCCCTTAGCCAGGTGGGGGGTGAGTTGGAGGGGGGCATGCTGAGGCCACCAGTGCTCACGGTTGGTCCCTCTCTGTTGCAGTAAGTTCCGGCTCTCCTACTACCCTCACTGTCTCACGTCCTTCACGGAGCTGCTCCGAGCAGCTTTTGGGGGCAAGTGCCAGCACAGCATCCTGGGTGACTTCAAGCCTTACAAGCCGGGTCAGGCCTACATCCCCTGCTATTTCATCCACGTGCTCAAGAGGACGGACTGAGCCTGGCCTCAGCTCCCGCGGCCCTCTGCCCAGGCCCTGCCAGGCTCTGTCTGGGGGGCACCACACCAGCAGCTCCACATGCAGATCCTGGCGGTGTGCGGAGGGAGTGGCCGACTGCAGCTGGGGTGCAGAGATCGGGGTTCAGCCTGATGTGAGGGTGAACAATACAGTCTGTGCCTTTTTCAGTTCCTGCACGTTTTGTGTTTGTGTCAGAGGATCAGGCACCCTGCCCTCCTCCCGTCTTGCTCTACCCCCACAACCACCACTCCACCAGCAGAGGGCAGCATACACTTTATTGTTTGTTACCCACCTGGCCCCCTCAGAGGCCAACTCCCAGAACTCCGGGTCCCCACCCCACTTCCTGAGCAGATGGGCCTTATGTTGGGGCTGCCCTGGGAAAATGGGGCGGGGATGCCTCTTGAATTCTCCCAGGCCTCTTCCCCCTGGCACCCAGGGAATCTCCTGGAGGTAGGCAGCCCTCAGGCCGGTAATGGCAGCCCGAGACAGAGCCCCGTGCTCTCAGGTCCGCGGCGCCCCCAGGTAGCTTTAGCCACTGTGGGTGCGGAGGATCCCGGACTGCAGGAGGCCCCTAGCAGGCGGCAAACTTGCGCTGGAGGCGCTTGTACCGGAGCAGCTCCTGCTCGCTGACCGAGGGCTCCAGGCGGGCGGCGGCCTGCAGCAGGTCCTCCATGGTGAGCAGCAGTGCTGCGCTCCCAGGCTCCAGCCCTGGGGGGACGACACGGGGGAGGGGAGGCCAGGGCTCCCAGACTGTAGGGGGAACTCTGGCTCTGTCCCAGTAAGGAGATCCCTGGGGGGAGCGCCTTCTTGCCCAGAGTCCCCGAAACAAAGGATTCCCTCTTCTGAAATCCAGAACCGGGCCTGGTCTTCCCTCTAGCTTTTTGGCTGACCTCTGGGGCAGGCGAGTGGCTCACCTTCCTCCAGGTCCCGGACCCTGCGTTTGAGGGCAGCCGTCATGGCATCAGAACAGAGGGAGTAGAGGTCCGCACCGGTCAGCTGGGGCGGGCAGTGATCCAGCACGGTCACCAGGCTCACGGAGGGCTCCAGCTTGAACCTGTTGCAGGGACACAGGACGGGGAAGTTTTACCTGGCGTGCCCTCCTCCCTCACAAGGCACCCCTGACCAGTGTGTTCTGCACATTGCACTTATTCCCCAGCCAGACCCAGGCCCGAGCCCCCTGGGGGGGTCTCCTCAGGGCGTACTTGCGTGTGATGGCGCTCAGAACACGGAGCTGGGAGGCGCGGTCCTCGCTCACCCCCACATACACCAGCTTGTCAAACCTTTAGGGCGAGAGGTGGAGGGAGCCCAGCACAAGGTGAATGAAGGAGGCACAGGACGGGGCCCAGGGACAAGCCTGGCTGGGTCTGGGGGAGGAGGGGTACGGGACGGGCACCTGCCAGGCCGCAGGAGGGCAGGGTCCAGGAGGTCTGGTCTGTTGGTGGCTCCGATCACAAACACATCCTGAGTGCTGTGAAGCCCGTCCAGTTCCGCCAGGAGCTGAGACACCACCCTGCAAGGGAGAAGCGAAGGGGAGTCCTGGGCCAGCCTCGGCTCCGCCCTGCCTGCCTGCGGGGCCTCTCCGTGCAGGCCTTCCCCACGGGGCCCCTTGCTGAGTCGGGCCTGTGCACCCTCCATGCAGGCACCCATTCTCCTCCACGTCCCACTCCCAAAGCCACAGCCCCTTTTGGCTTCTGTCTCAGAAGCGGGAGGACAGCACTCTGGGCTCCGAAGTCTGTGGCAACCCCTCCGGCACCCCTCTGTCCGGGCCCAGGCTCCATGCTGGCTCAGACCCCCACCTGTCCATCACGCCTCCAGAGTCTCCGCTTCGCCCCCGGCTTGGGGCCAAGGAGTCCAGTTCATCAAAGAAGATAATGCAGGGAGCCGCGGCCCGGGCCCTGGCAAACACTGAGGGGAGAGGGGCCGCAGGAGGAGAGGCTCAGCGGGGCTTTAAAGTCACGACGGGAGGGAAGAAAGCCCAGGCTTGGTAATTCATTACCAGCTCCAGGAAAGAGGGCCCCCTGGCAGAACTGGGACTTGTGGAAAGGAAGACTGGGATGCCCATGAGCAGCCTGAGGGTGGGGGTGGGGGTGGGGGTGGGGGACTGGAAGCCCTGTCCACTCACCTTCCCGTACGTTCTCTTCACTTTGGCCCACGTACATGTTGATGAGCTCTGGCCCCTTCACGCTGAGGGAGAGAGGTGGAGGTAACACCCGTTAGACACCCAGTCACGATCGGCTCACTCCACCCGGCGTCTCTCCAGGCCCCTCGCCACCTGAGGAAGGTGAGGCTGCACTCGGTGGCCACTGCCTTGGCCAGGAGGGTCTTGCCGGTGCCAGGAGGCCCGTGGAGCAGGAGGCCTGAGCGCCTCAGGCCCAGGCTCAGCAGCTCGGGGTGCTCTAGAGGGAGCTGGATGGTCTCCAGGATCTCCTTCTTCACCTCCTGCAGCCCGCCCACGTCGTGCCAGGACACCGAGGGGATCTAGGGGAAGGAAAGAGCCCGGTTGGGGACATGCCAGAGGACGGAGCTCCGGCCCCACCTCCAGGGGCCCACAGGCTCTACCTTAGGGGCGCCGATGGCCTGGGAGTGAGCCGACTGCAGCTGCTCCAGGGCCTGCCCGAAGTCCTCGGCCAGGAGCGGGAAGCCGGCCGCACACAGCTCCCGCTCATCCTCCTCACTCAGGCCGCCGGCCAAACTGCAAAGTGAAGACCCCGGGAGGCGTCTGGGGGACCGGACCTGAGGCCTCCCCCCATCAGGGCCCCGCTCCCTCCTCCCTGCCTTACCAGCTCCCACCCACCCACATTTCCTCTTGTCACCTTTGCCTTTGATACCCAGTTTTCTTACCCAGAATTCCTGATCCTAGTGCAAGCTGCCCGGCTGCTGTGAGTCACAAGGGCATAGAGATCGCCTACCACAAAGCCCTGGGAACCACAGGAAAGGACGCGTGAGCAGGGCACGGTAGGCAGGAACCCGTGGGTGGCTGGTGCCTCGGGGTTTTCTACCTGCACTTGCAGGGCAGCGGGTCCGAGTTCCTACGACAGAGAACGTGGGAGCACCCTGCCTTGGTACTCACCGCACACCGCCGAGCCAGCTGTGCGAGGTCCACCTCTTGGCCCAGGGGCAGGCGGGCAGTGAGGGCCTGCAGGATGCTGAGCCGCTGCCCCTCTGACAGCACAGGCACCTCCAGCTCATGCGGAAATGCTGAATGCACGTCCGCAGGCAGGTCCTGGGCCCGGCTGGTGGTGGCTACAACCATCAGTGGAGGGCAGCTGCGGACAGGGAGGGGGACAGGGAGTGAGGACTGGGGGAGAGCTCTGCTGAGGCAGGGGCAGGAGAGCGGGGAGGTTGGTGGGCGCTAAGATAAGGAGATGAGCACCCCAAGGCTTCCTGGATGGGCTCCATGGGAACACCTCGAGGGGGACCTGTGTCCCCCCTCACACAGGGAGCTCACTGAGGGCAGAGGCTGCGCTTTTTTTTCAACCTAGTGCTCCCCAAGAAAAACTAGGGACCACATCCTTCTCCCTCTGGATACCCCTAAGCTCCTCAGGGCTGTCAGGAGGGCCGCCGAACTGGCAGTGGACGCGGGAGAAGCCACGGAACGGGTGAAGGCTCAAGGATGAAGGAGGGGTGAGGGATGGGCCCAGCTCTGTGTACCTGGTGAGGGGGTCCTCATCGAGGAGGAGGCGACGCAGCGTGGCCACCACACGGGCGTCCTCACCTAGCCCGTCGCGATCCCGGCCCAGAAGGTCCAAGGCTGTCAGCAACAGAACCGCAGGCCGGCAGCGCCGGGCCCGGGAGAAGGCGGCCTGCAGCTTGGTCTCCACGGCCCCGCTGCTATCTGCACAGAGGCTGGAGCAGGGCACCTGGGGAGGGTCCCCATGTGAGCCAGGGCCAGGTGGGACGGGGCAGGAGGAGGCAGAGGTGCAAGCCGCCTCTCTTTTTAATATATATTTTATTGATTTTTTACAGAGAGGAAGAGAGGGATAGAGAAACATCAATGAGAGAGAATCATCAGCTGCCTCTTGCACACCCCCTACTGGGGATGTGCCCACAACCAAGGCACATGCCTCGGACCAGAATCGAACCTGGGACCTTTCAGTCCGAAGGCCGACGCTCCACCCACTGAGCCAAACCGGTTTTGGCCCGCCTCTCTTTTAAGGGTAGGATGGGGAAAGAAGGTATTGATGGCCAGTCCTACCTCTTTACCCTAATCTCATTTTTGGACTGTCCACCAAAATCTTAAAACCCCTCCTTGAAAGCATCTCTCAGGAGCTGAGCATCAAAGGAAATGGAGATTTAGTGGGAAATTAGTGCTTTGCATTTGTATACTGTAAATAGAAATGATGATTTGTTTGAAATGTGTAACTTTGATATGCAAAAGATAATAACTCACAATGTTAATATTAAATATTCCTTCAAAATAAAAAATAAAAACTCAAAAAAAAAAAAGTTAAAAAAAAAAAAGGAAATGGAGACCCACAGGGCTGGGGAGTTAGAGCAGGCTAGCAGCCAGAAGGAAGAGGGGAGAGGGAGGAGGGAGAATCTGGGCTGGGGAGGGTTCTACTGGGTTCTATGCTCCAGGGACCCTCACCTTCAGCAGGTGGAGTCCGAGGCGGCCGCAGGCAGCAGCCACTGCTGTGGTCTTCCCACTGCCCAGGGGGCCCCGCAGAAGAACGCTGCCAGTTCCTGTCAGCAGGGCGCCCCTGCAACCAGAGGACAGATAGGTCTCGTCCACGCTGCTCACCGTTCAGAGTCCCCGGGGACAGGAGAGCCGTGGGTCCAGAGCGCAGACACCGTTTCTCTCTCCTTGATGCACCCCAGCCCCCGGGCTGTCGCCATGCCGAGGTACACTTCCCACGCCACCTATGGTGCTCTGGCCGGGCGTGGAGCCTAGGCAGCAGCCAGGACGGACTCCCGCTGTCACCCCATTCTTCCATAAACCCCTGTGGGTCTGGTCTGGACTGGACCGGTATCAGGGAAGGCTC